AGGTTCAAGTGATGATGTCACAACTGCTGACAAATTGATGTTGATTTGTTATGAAATGTAACAGTAGTTAGTGTTAGTTCAATATCTTTAAAAATTAATTTGTCAAGATTTTTGTTGGGGCCTTGGGTGACATTGTACAGGTGGGGCTTGAAATTAAAAAAAAAAAAAAAAAAAGATGGTCAGTCCTTAGTAAGGTTTATGCTGCTATAAAAGAATGGCACACAACTGTCTCGAATTTGTTTTTTGTATTTAGACCGAGGCCGAGCTTCTCTTCGACACTGAAACCTTTCATATATAAATTTAAGTAACCACACTAGGTACCACAATAGACAATACACACCCTGAGAACCGTGCATGTGTGTTAGTTCTCTACACGAGTGGTGGGTGTCAGGATTTACGACTACAATATATTCTCACACGAAACAGTGGCTAAACATAGAGTCCAAACGCTCAACTGAAACCAAAAAAAAAAAAAAAAGATGAAACATTGTTGATGAAACCAGAGAGAAAGACTGACTGAGTGACTGACTGAGGAAAGACTCTCCAAGTTTGAACACAGGGCTGCTGATATGACTAAGTCACATATTTTACAGGCTGAGTCTGGTTTAAAAACACAGGCCCACTTGAATCTGCAGCAACATGTCTGCACACTGACGTCTGCCTCTACAATGCTGCTGCTGCTGCTGCTGCTGCTGCTGCTGCTGCTCTAGTCTGGGGGAGGTGGAGGAGGAGTGACTGTATAAAAGTGTGTGTGAGCGGCTGTGTGTTGAGAGGGGGGTCTTCCTTTCGGGAATAACTGGGTTCTTGTAAGATCGCGCTCAGATGCCTTGATGTCACTTCCTGTTTAAAAAAGCTCACCAATTCCATAAAAGGACATTTGAGCCATTTGTATCCTCCCAGAGGTGGAGCGCTGCGTCCAGACTCTGTAGTCTGCAGCCAGTCTGCCAACCCTGTGACGTACACGTACCTATCTGTGCATGTGGCTTGTTAGTCACTCTCCTATTTTGATGAGTTTCGGATAACTGAGTGTGTGTGTGTGTTTGTGTGTGTGTTTGTCTGTCTGTGTGTGTAGACACAGAGGAAGTGTCGAGTCACAGCAGAAATGAACAGTTGGGGGGAGGGGGGGGGGAGGGAGAAGAAGGAAGCTTCCACGAGAGCCAATCATAATCACTCTGACAGGAAAAGAAACACCAGAAAGGCCTCACACATGCACAACCCAAGTGCATCACACTGCAAACACACACACAGTTTTTTTTTTATACAATGTACTGTATATTTACACCTAACTGCATTGTGGATCTATGGTGTGACTTGGCAAAATTTGAAAAACAAAACGTTGAAGCTGGAGCCCAGGTGTCAGCTGATAATCTATAATCTACACAGATATCTGAACACCGCTCAGCACCGATGGAAAGAAGGGCCAAAACATTCAGGAATATCAACATCACCACAATTCCGCCTCCCCCACGGTGCATTAGCGCAGCATCAGTCCTGTGTACCATCAACATTAAAGCAGCAAATGTGTGTGACAGCGCCTTCACAGTCTCCTCTGTCTTTTAGACACCTGAGATTTGTCTTGTCCCGTCTTGTCCCTCCCACAGCAGAGGCAAAAACAACTGAATATTCTACTTTTGTCTGTCTCCAAAGTTGACAGAAGTGTTTTTTGGATGTCCGTACTGTCGACCGTTGCCCTGCAGCCTGTGATCTGCTGTGAGTGCAGCGGTCAGATACTGTCCATCAGGCCATCCAGGCCTGACCACAGGAACATCAAACTTATCTCACTGTAACAGAACAACACACTACTGTCACAAAGATATTACTGCTCTCTATAGTGTGGCCACAAACATCTTCTTACAGCTATACCCACAATGAGGACATTTCAGGTCAGAGGTCGCCATTAAATGGTGAGGAAAAGCAAGCCTGAATGGACTGAAAATGACATGACACGATGAAAACCTTTTCTGAATGGACTGAAAATGACATGACACGGTGAAAACCTTTTTTTTTATATATAAAAACAGACATTTACTTAATATAATTTTATATATATTATAGTTAATCTAAATTGGATTTTGAATTTATTTGTAAGTCCAAAGTTAAAAATAAATGTTGCCCTATTATTGAAGAATACTGTTTGCAGTAAAAGTCCAGAACCTTCCATATTATATCATCCTATTCTGAAAATGGTAATAATTTGATTTCCGGATCTTTATTTCAGAATATTTTCACAGATTGGTCTTTGGATTGGATTTTATTTTGTACACACCTACATAAGTTTCTTCTCAGCTGCTTGGAAACGCCTACAGCCAGCCACTAGAGACTGAGTGAGGCAACCTTTAGTCAGTCCCAGTAACTAAAACATGTCGTTGGAATATTACCAGAATAAAAGGATCTTGTTCCAATGGGTCCACAGACCAGGTCAGTCAGGAGATGGAACACATTTTTACAATAACACACCCTCTAACAAAAGATGCGGTAACACAGACTCCCCATGGGTTCATGGTAAAGCAACCAATCAGTTTCACCCTCTTTCCACTCTCAAATGTCCTATGTAATCATAACAGACGCACCCAGCCCGAAGTAGCCCCGCCCCCTGCTTCTCTGGCCCGCTTTAATAAGTGGCCTCATATCATGGAGAATGTTTTTCTCACTGCCCACAATCACACTCTGCTGAAAACAATAAGCAGTCATCCCGATGTCAGAGTAAAAGCCACAGGAGAAGCTCTAACGTGGAACTGCATTTCCAGAGAAACAGGAGGTCTCCTGGGAGCCAAAAGGTCACCCTACCGCTGAAGGAGTCTCCACGCACACAAACGCACACTAACCCCTTCAATCATTTAGCTTTTAAACCAAAAATGATGTTTGTCAGTGTTACTTCAAAATCATACGTAAACTAGTCAGGATGTCTCCCCGTGTTGTGACAGATGAAAACACACTACTAATGCATCAACAGAATGTAGCTGCTCATTTAGCTGTTTTGTTTAGCTCAATGCTAAATGAGCAGCTGTGTTTAGCTTTGGATTTAGCTATCCACAGTTCTCAAGAGAAGTGTGGATCCTCACACAGGTAAGGGCTGTAGTAAGGGAGGACCTACCCATCGAGGGAGAGAGAGAGAAGCGTTATTGCAATCGGAACGGGATGTTTTCGGACATCCCGTTCCTGATTCTAAACCATCTACACAGGGTCCTTGACTTCGTCGGAAAATGTGTTCCATAGCTGCAACGTAACTTGATTACGCCGTTAGTCGGAACTCACATAGTACTTATATAATTCATGGGTAACATGTCGGAAAAATTATCTAGGACATAAAAACATCAGAAATGTTTGACTTAAGTTTGGGAACCATGATAAAGGGAAAAGAGCTCTCGAAAAAACAGAAAAAACAATTCAATATATGAGGTACAACCAGCAAATGTAAACAAAGTCATCTTCTGCGTACAGCACTGCATACTAAACCTAAATAAAATCAAGGACACTGCATAAATTAATATTAATGTTTTAAAAGAATAAAACAATTACACAATTATGAAAATATTTAGTCAGCACATTGCAACAATGCACAATAAATAATAAAATAAAATGTTAAACCTGCCCCCACTTACGTTTACATTAAATGGTAATGTACAGGCCTACTGTCCTACTGAAAGATTGTAACATTGAATATGTTCTCTCATAAAAACACAAAGTGCATTTCAGTCAATCGCTGGATCATTTCTCGTGCGCGCTGCTTTATTCTCCCATCCAAGTAATGATCCTTTTAACGTGGATCAAGTACAGTCGCGAGGATCAGAGTAGATCTCAGTGAAACTACTTATCTTTTATACTTTTCATTGTTTTCACTCCGTGGTCCGTGTCAACCTCTTTCCTTAGAAGACACTTTACTGCTGCGATTAAAGGAATAACATCTGCTACAGATGCATCAGAGGAGCTGATCTCTTTAGTTAGCTGCTCAAACAGGGCAAGAAGAGAGAGAATGTTGTCTATTAAAATTTAAAACTATTAGATATTAGAAATATGTGGCCTCATCCTAAACATTATTATAATAATCACGAATGATAACAAGTGCATTAAGTTTGACCTGACAGGTGGTTGTTGGTTTTAAAGTATTTTAACTGCTGAATCATCATAGTGTCAGTGTGAGAGAGATTTATAAAATTCCATGCAAACTCATGGAGACCGCAGCACTGCTGCAAGCACCACAGAAACACTACCTGTTGAGGTGATCATCACTGACATCATTCAACAATAACTGGTGCAGATGTAGTTTGATGTTTACCTGAGAAACCTCATACGTTGTTGTAAGCCAGGTAGCATAAATCTAAGGCTACATTTAGATTGCATTAGATATCTACTACAATTTTAATGTGTCTGGCCTGTGGCTCCATCCTTTAAACAGGCTGCGGCCGCACGTATTTAGCAAAGCAACATGAGCCTCAGAGTGTGGAGCTGCTGCCTCCAGCCCAGCGAAGGAATTCAGCCGAGCATTCCTCTGGAATACCAGCAGCAGCAAAGAGACGGAGAGACAGGCAGGGGAGACAAGAGGGAGAGCGAGGGAAAGCGAGGGAGAGCTGCTTTATTCAGCCTCCCGTCAGTGGCAGCAAGTACATGAAGTATACGCGGCGGCCAAAATCCCAGTGGAGCCAAGGAATGTGAGGATGGAGAGATTCTTTGGCAGAGAGAAGATACAATCTCATCTCCAATTTTAAACTGTTTTCAACTCACAGGAAGTCGACCAGTGGAAAACAACTCTGGCTACTTCAATGTGTATCAGATAAACACTTTTTTTTTTTTTTTTTTGTTAGAGCGTAAGACATTTCCTGCCGTTATTTAGTCAACACTGGCTCTTGAAAGGAGAGGTCATGGTTTTTGGAGCACATTTGTAAGAAGTGCTGACACATGGTTAATGCTGACTGTGCTGAATGTTGGTCCTGCTTTTATTGAAAACATGGCTGCCAAGTACCAGTTACAATTGGAAATTTAAGTATCATGTGATTAAGGCACGGAAAGAGAACGCTTGGATGGATCTAATAATAATAATGTCACAGAAAAAATATCTATCTATCTATATATATATATTTATATGTATATCAAGTATTGCTTTTCAGCTAGAAAATATCGAGATATGACTTTTAGTCCATATCGCCTAGGCCAGGCTTGGACAAACGTTTTGCCTCGTGGGCCACACTTGCCCTAAAATTGAACGGGGGGCCGGTCAGGAGCAGATAGATGGAGCGTTTGCGTGAACTAAGACAAATTAAATGTAAAAGTCATGCAAAAAGGGCTAAAACAATCATTTTCTACGCCATCTGTTGGGGAAAAGTTGGTATTGCAGGGAAAAGGCAGAAGTATAATGATAATATAAATAAATTATGTAATTTGGAAATGTTTGGTGGGCCGGATTAAAATGATGAACGGGCCGCATCCGGCCCCCGGGCCTTAGTTTGCCTATGCCTGTGCTAGCATTACTGCTAAGTATAGGGAAAACTGAATATACTTCTAACTTCTAAATACTACTAAACAAAAACCTAACTAGAAAACTAGCGTTGTAAGAGTTTGAAAAACTCACTTAGAAACACACACAGTGAATTAATGCAAACCCGAATGATATAAAACTGATGCTCTTCTCTATGGAATACGTGAATGACTGAAGTTTCCAGAATGTCGAGAGAAAAAAAAGTGTTCATAGTGTCGTAGATTTAAGACTTACTCACTCAATTTATTCAAATGCATTTAAACATTTCTGTTCACAAAGCTTTCAGTATTTGAGGAAATACTGAGCATGTTACACTGTGATAAAAATACTTGCGCGTTTTGTAGTCCTAAAATAAACTCTGACACATGCGTGTGCATGTGTGTATGCGTGTGTGTGTGTGTGTGAGAGAGAGCTGCTGGTCTCTGCTGTTCTGCACAGCCTCATGATGATGAGCCCGAGACGATCCATAAATCTGTTTGCAGGGGGAAATGAAATATTTGCGGACATCACTGCCCTGTCAGTGGTGCTGACAGTTCAAATTCAATCAGTGAGACGAACCTGCAGGTCAAACACTGCCAACATCTGGTCCTGTCCTGACCGTGTGTGTGATGTTCAAACGCAGCAGCAGGTCCCTGCTGGTCTGACAGAGCTCCAGGCGTCCGACACAGGCCTGAGAATTGGTTTGAGGCTAAAACAAATGGTTTCTTAGTCTACGTGTGTGGGGGGAAGTGTGCAGAGAAGGAGGTAGCACATGTTGTGTTGACCAAATATGGCCGAGTAAAAACACTACAGCCAGAAAGCAAGGACAGCAGGAGCAGCAAAATATTGAGAGAGAGAGAGAGAGAGTTTTCCTTAAGTGGTGTGGGCGAGAGTGAGATACTGACATATACCACACAGATGTATGAGATCTGTGTGAAAGGGACAGCTACAGCTACTCTGTTCACGCCTAAAGGATAGACTGACGGGACACAGACATGTGGTCCAAGTGAAGCGCAATTCAGGTCATTCTATGAACAGTATTTATATTTATATATATACATATATATATATTCAGTATATGATTTCTACTCATATTCACAGTCACTTAAAGCCACCGTATTTCCCAAGGTGAGATTAGGGTTCTTTGCTACCATACTGCCACCGCCCGCCCCACAAAATAATACTAGTGGGCAACAGACATATTCATTCATTCAGTAAAATAGTGTTATATAACGTAAATAATAATTTCAACAAATTACAAAAATAAAAGTTCCTGTTCATGTTTTCGGCAAACATCGTTTTATATGTTTAATACAGTGTCCTGCACAAAATGCACAACAAGCACAATGTTCAATCTATTCAAAACAGTAATAGGCAACGTGTCAAAAGAGCCTTATGGTGCGTTAAAAAAAGATGCACCCACAGTTATTTGACAGCTGCCGTACACAGACACCAGCACACCAAGGTGCTCAGAACTCTGATTTATAGACGCCGTCAGTGACAAAGATTCCAAAAAGGACCTTATGTCACCTCAGAACCCACATACAGGGCTTTCACAACCCCAGGACTCCGTGCCAGTTCCTGTTCCCAAACCAACACTGGAACCGGCCGACGCATTCAGACCGAAAAAATAACACTTTCGGAACCTGAAAGGTTGGTTCACCAGGGAACCAAGAAATAACAGGTTCTTCACTGTGAACCGTGACATCATCGGTGGGCATGTCTTACTCTAAATAAAGAAAAAAAGAAGAAGAAGAAGAAGAAAAGCAGCGACTAATGGCGAACATGATGGCGAATATGGAGAAAGAGAATGTACAGGGGTCCACAGAGGAAACCTGCGGACTTAACTGTAGTCACCTCTGCAGGACATAGGACATATCGGCCTACATTTACTTTTGTATACCATTCAGATTCCACCTCTTCTCGCCATTAACATCTAGTGCGTGCTGGACTTTTGGATGAAAATGCGATTTGCCATTGTGGCGCTGCTGTGTTAGTTTAGCATCCAGTTAGGTCGACTGAGTCTCCTGGAGACGCCTCCATTTTCATAATGTATTAATATCGAACATCTTCAGTGCGTCTTGGTTTAATTGAGTTTCTGCTTTTGCATGGTACGCAAGAAGGAGGAATGAAAGTGAACTACTTGTCATTGTGACACAGCTCACCACTGCACACACAATGAAATGTGACCTCTGCTGTTAGCCCATCACCAAAGTGAACAGTGGGCAGGTTTAAGCGCTCTGGGAGCAATGTGTGGGGATGACGCCTTGCTCAGTGGTAACTTGGCAGCTGGTGGACTTGAACCTGAAGCCTTCCGGACTCAAGTCCGCTTCCTTAACCACTAAGTCACCACTAAGAGTGCATGCTTATCGAAACTTCAAGGAGGCCTATGATGCACGACCCAGATCTGTCCATGGACTCTGGTTTGACATTGTTGACTAGTCATTTATTTTGACACACAAACAAACATGGGAAAACTTAATTCAAGTTAAAATATTGTTATGGTCTTTAGCAAAAAAAGTCAATGCTTTTTCTTATTTAAATATAGAAAAAAAAGAAAAAAAATCAGTCAGTTGGTCATTTAGTAAGTCTGCCCTTAAAAAGCAGCAGACTTATTTATTACACATTTAGACCTTGATTAACTGACGAATTGTTGCAACACTAAACAAATATCTAACTCTTTCTCAAGTTTCCAACCTTTAAAAGGCCATTAGCGCTATGAGGACATTTAATTCCCAACATTGTCAGAAACTTCTCACAATAACATTTTGTGCCAACTCTGTGCTTTTAGCCTTGTGAAGACACACACACACGCACTCAGAAACAGTTTTTGGCCACATGCTTCATTTACTTTAACCACACAATGCTTTAAAATGATGTCACCCAGACTATCGCACCACATGATGACAAATGGTAATTTAAACTATCCTATATGACATCATCCTTTCATTACAGTACAGCAGGTTTGTTCTTTAAACAGAAGCATTCATTTGGATTCCAGGTCTTTGGAGTCCATATGCTGATACTTCCCCATGACAGAATGAGTTGTATGATAGAAGTTGTTCAAATAGAGGTGATTTATGAGACTGTGAACTGACAAATGTAATTAGCTAAACAACCTGATATGGATAAATAAATAAATGGAGTTATTATAACGTGATGTCTTGACCAGAGGATCCGTCCATGTCCAGGAAAGGGACATACTGATCACTCTCTAAGTGATTCAGTTTCTCGTGTCACAAGCGAATTCTTATCATATTCACATCATAATATTTGACTAGTAATGTTGAGGCTTAACGTGGGCATCAGAGGAGCAGGTAGATAACCAGGTATAGCTGGTGAAGACCATCCAATTTAAAAACATGACTTCTATTGGTGGGTGGCATTACTGCTTAGTCCTATTGCCACAACACCAAGAAAAAAACGGAACGACCCCTTTAAGAACCCCTGTGGCTTTGTGAACTCCCACATACACAAACTTCCTGTCTGTCCTTGTGTCCACACTGCTGTCCTCAAACTCCTCAGCTCTAGAAACGTGTCTCTCAACACGTCACGTCACGTCACAGTGGTAGAAGAATTCACAGCCCGAGGCGACGTTTTTCCTGCTGCCGCTGCACAACACACCCAGAGCATAATAACCTTCCGCAGACAGATAGAACCGAGGTGTCACCACTTAAACTACGGAACTGATTACACAACACGTACACATGCACACTCGCGCACATAAAACACACACTCTTACAGTGCCTCACTCCACCGCCACACACACGCCCTGACTAAACTTGAACATGTCCGTTGATGGAGCAGTGATACACAACATCTCGACTACTTAGAACAAACACAAACCGAGATTAATAAAACGCGCAGTCCACACACATTTAGACACTTAGACACACGCAGGACTTTTCACTAACTTTTCCTGGCTTCTCAGCCGCACGACGTTGACGTCACAGACTGTTCTTTACAATGGTGGAAACTTTTCATAGTTCAGAGACAGTCTAAGAAACTCTGGAACTTTCTCACCTCCGCTGCCTGTCTTCTTCCCGTTTCTTGGTTTATTCCACCACTGGGGACGTAAACAGACGGTGGCGCTCTCTTTTGTTCGTCTTCCTCGGTGAGAAGAGCCCTGTCTGGTGCTGGGTTCTTCCTTGGTTCCTCCCTGTTAAAACTGTCCGCTCCGAGCAGCGGCGGCGGCAGCGATGATAGCAGGAGCTACAGCAGTTCGACTGCTCAGACTCCACCCTCAGAATGCTCTTTAGCACCGCGGGGCGGTGTCCGGGTCGGTGCCGCGCGGTACTGCGCGAAGCGGTGCGTTGCCGCGTGGACGCTTGAAAGGGAGGGAAAGGGGGGGATCAAAGT